CAGAACTGTGATGCCTGCATCCGCAACACTTCTGCGCCCTGTCACGCCACAACTTGAGAAAGTACAGAACAGTTTGAAAAGGCGAATGGCTACTCAGAAACGGTACTACGACAACGGCGCACGGGAATTACCTGAGCTGACAGTGGGGGAAGAAGTATGGGTTGAACCAATTCCCGATGGACAGGAGCGGTGGAGAAAAGGAGTCGTGGCTGCGAAAGTCGGTGAAAGGTCATACGAAGTAAATGTTGGAGGGAAGAAGCTGAGAAGAAACCGAGTACAGCTGAGGAGATGTCCGAGGCGACAGCATGAATCAGGGAGAGAGCGTTATACTGCGTGCGGCAATGAGGCGACATCAGCAGATCCAACAAAGAGGACGCGAAGTGGTAAAGTGTATGGACTATTTAGCAAAGTACAGCAGCAAGAACATGAAAAATGGGAGGATGTGCTGGGAGTATACACTCGAACGAACGTGCGGTGCCAGCCCAGCAAGGAAGCCGTTAGGCTGCCGCAAGGAAAGGCGGCAGCTGATTGGAAGTTCACACGTTTCTCGCATGCACGCTGATTGGCCAACAGTTGGACGCATTGGAGTGAGTTTGTTTGACTGAATCAAAGGAAAAATGTCATGCATTCACAAAGGTCGTTAATTATGGATCCAACTAGCTATATATACCGATATGTTTCACTCGCCCTCTGCCTGCGTTTTCGCCTGATCCTTTTGTTTGCAGAATATACGTTTTGTCCCTGAAGGACCGACTTTTAACACACCTACCGGATTCGAACTTGTGACCTTACTCTTAAGAGCCAGTGATGTATGAAATAGAGCCATGGGTGCAAAACCTCAAGGAAGGAAGGGCACACGAAAGACCGAACCCTGTAGTGTTCGCTTATGGTGGACATTGGACGCAGTTTGCATAACTGGTCGCAGGAATTGCCAAGTGTCTGAAGCGCAGCCCTAGTGAGAAAAGTGGTTACAATCAAGCGATGCTGTCTGGAATTCTGTAGTCTGAATACTGTATTATAGAGCAAGTAGAAATGGATTCTGTGGGTCTATGGTGAAGTGGTATGATTCCTAATAATGGACAACCTTGTCATGGAGGATGTGATAGTGCAACGCCGTTCGGAGTGTTGAGGCAACCGATTGCAGGACTAACCAATCAAACGCATACACCGTCCCCATTGCTTACGGCTAACAGACACAAAAACCTCCTGGGACCGTGATAGGCACGGTCACCATGCAGTTTCCAACACGTCAAACTGAAATGTCGCTTCGACAGTGCAGTCACTGGCCACACAGGATTCAATTGAACTCATGGCAAGAATGCGCCTCAGGTACACAGGAAGGGTGGATTTGCAACTGCCAAGCGAGGAAGATGAATCACTTAGAGCGAACCTTAGGTCATCCGGCCAGTCAGGGAGGGGAATTCCGCGCCCACCCACACTGTCGTATTCTAGCCGCTCCCGTTATTATTTCATCCGCACGACAAGCCACTGCAATCGGCGTCTGGTCACCCGGCACTTGTCAACCGCCAGATCTCTGATGTGTCATCTGACGGGGCGAGGGCCGTTAAGTGCTAATCACGTGGAGGTAAACTGGAACGCGAATAAACCCAGCCGACATCTGGATACACGGTCATGATCTTGAGGCTTCAGGTAGCCCTGTCACCGAAAGCGGACCCTGTCATGCATTGTTTGTCCATGCGGACCAGACGTCGGTCACTTGTAGCCCATCGGGCAAAAAGGATATGCCATTTGTGTGTGTATGTGTGGTGCTGTGATTCATAAACACATCTTCTATTGACCACTGAATGCCGGTGTATGGGAACTGGACACACTGCCAGTGGCAGCGCACAAGCCATCATGCTGGTGTGATCTCGAGTGTAGTTTCGGTACACTATTCCAAACTTTCCCTTGCCCTACGGGATTCTGAGGATTAACTTTAAATTTTACCTCGAGATGCAGTTCATGTAAACCTAAGGAGTTAACAAACGTGATTCACACACACACACACACAGGCACACAAAGAGCACTGAGATCGCTTGATTACGATTCTTTTGATTGCTGACGCACACCCCACTCACTGTGAACAACTGCGTTGAGTAGCCAACGAAGAAATGCGTCAGTACTGGGCCGGAGGACACCAGTGTCTGTTTACCTCCCCACTAAACACCTGAGATTCCATCAAAGGTAAAACAGAAAAGGTAATCGCTTTCCACCCGTTGTACTACCACCTCGGGTAAGCAATCCTGGGGAGGAGCTTGTACCTACACGCTCGGTTAGCTGGCTTTTGTTGAGAAAGATGTTTCTCCGTGTGTGAGCGTCAGTCTTGTCCTCCTTGTTCTGCACTCAGCCCTACTTACGACAAACTAATTTCCTTATTCCGGATGTACAAATCACCACTAGCGATGGTTCCCTCAGCTGTCCCTCTTTCGCAAACTCCCTTAATTTCGCCCAAAAGTTCGTACAGGAAACGTTATGGAGATGCCGATGTGTATAGGAGAACGAACGTGTACATGGTATAACATTTCCAACATGGAACAGTCTGACTTATTTACTTACATCATTCGTGGTGCGATTTGATTCCATGATGCGCCGGTTACTATCGAGTCAGCTTGTTGTGACGGAACGGTATAGATTCATCGCTACAGAGCCATCCATTTTCAGGGCTGGTTGAATTGTGCGCTAAGCAACCGTCGTCCGCGTTGATCCATTCTTGACTGAGTTCATCGCGCCTGCTCGTTTCACCATATTACACATTAGTAGTGCACCACAATGCGACCATCATTGTTTTCGGTGTGTATGATCATTTGCTTTCAGGGATGAAATTACGATGGCTCCGAAATTTTAGATCGGCAACTTCAAGGACGCATTATCTCATTGCCAGAAGATGTTGTTAAGTCGTGTCTTAGCAATGCGATCTTTTTTTCATCTGACAACGTGCCTCGTGCACTCATAGTAACCTTACTACTTTCGCGCAGGCTATTCGTTTCCAATTGGTCACTGTGCAACAGAAAGTTATTATTAGTCAATTAAAATGGTTCTCTCTCATTATGTCAAGTTCGAGTTGCCTCCAGCATTTCGAAATTACTCCATGGCCTTCTAATGCAGTTTATCCTCTTCACTACTGGGTGTCAAATACCCGATAAGTCAATAATTCTGCAAGACGTACTTAACTGTTAAGGGCGGGCCAATAGAGTATGAAATAAAGTAAATCAACACTTCGGCCTCCTGCGAATTACGTTTGCAATGTTCGGCGCCAGTTGCGCTATCTAAGAGTGGCAACCCTGGCAGAAGCACCATCTCGTCACGCTGGAGAATGCCCGAAGCAGGGCGACAGAGAAGGTTAAGGGCATGTCCTACCTTCTCTGCCAGTTCAGGATAAAACACTGTGAGAGTTGCGGACCTTTTCTACGCTTACGAGGAGCATCCCATAATAATGTAACACATCCTGGTAAAACGCAAAACACCCTTATCACCATCTATTGTAGCTCAGTCGATACAGGAATCTGACAGAACATCGGTTAAGGCTGGCAACGCAATACAGCCGACTGGAATTCGACGAAATTCTTTCATCCTGTGAGTGTCAAATCTCTGGAACTCTCTCCCAGCGCATGTAATCAAATGTCTATACTTATCACTATCCCGACGAGAAGTTGGCGACACATTAACATAGTTGCGTTACGTGATATATCGTGTGACCATCGAATGACGACATCAATGCAAAACAAACCGCGAACTATATCACACTCCGTTTAAACTCCAGGAAGAAATACTCGCGTGGTTGCTACTGCAACCCCCTTAGCGAGTTCAGCCAACTCCGACTTCTTTCAAAGACCATGTTTTATCTTAAAAGTTTCAAACTAACTATCCTACGGGACTAGTCAAGCATCTGCTTTTTTGTCCAGTACTAAGCATTGATCCATTGCAAGATAGTAAAGTATAGCATAACTGAAATGAACTCACGAAGCGGTTACTAACTGCTCATTGGAACTCAAAACAGAATTGAAGTGGGAGTATGCACTTATTACCTTCTCCTCATGCAGCCGAAAGCCAGTATGCACATCGATTAGTTGATAGGCTATTACGACAGATATGCTGACTCGGCTGTCTGTTTTATCATTAGTTGCTTCTACAGTTTTACAAACCTTTCTTCAAACCACCAAACCACCTATTCTTAGATGTGATTAAACTAGTTAAATGACCTGCTTTACCTCATGTTCAAACACATCCTGCCCACACATTTACCGTGGTAACTCTACAAAGTAAACCATTGGGACGGTTTTGCTAGCGCAATGTTTTTGAATACTAAGCACTATGCGTAGGAGAGCAAACATTAACCATTGTTTAAAACAGAGCTGTTGCTGCATCATTAATAGCGGCACATCAGCCATTTGAACTGATGCTTCGCTGCCGTACAACCACCGTGACCTACGGAAAGAAGAATAATAAAAGGGAGAAAAGAGGATCCAGCATAAAACGTTAATGTCCTAAGAAGACATTCAAAGTCAAGGCGCCTACACCATTTCAACAACATACTGTCGCAAACAGCTGACTTTCGTGAAAGAATAAGGCGACCTTGGTTAGATAGCCTCTCTGTGGCTTTCACTACCCCGCGTCATAATCAGCCATTAACCAGCAGATAACTCAGCGCCAAACACACTTTAAACAGGCAATTCGAATAGACTGCAGCAGACACGCCACCGATGCCGACTACGAACCATGTACCGTAACGTCTCGAGCCAAGAACAAGGCGGGTCACGTGAACTACAGCGTGTAAGCCAAGCCGGGCCGAAAGTACACTGTTTTGCAGTCAGTGACTTCATTTCTCGCTGCCAAGTTAACCCTTATAGCTGCAACAGGCTATCTTAGCATGCATGGAACAGAGTTATTCCCACTCGAATAAAGCTTATCCTTACATTGCGTAACATATTAAACCTCAGTTCGCCGTTACACAATGGATGAAATGTGCGAGCACTTAGCATCTGTGTCATAACGCCGCTTACTTTGAAAGGACCTCCTCGACCGTCATCCACTTCCAGAGAATAAGTGACAGGTTCCAACTCCTTGTAGACTGGTCTGCTGGCACCAGTTTCCTCCAAAGCGCAATTATGCCATTCGCCACTTCTTGAATTTGTCGTATGACCAGAAATGGAAGTAAAGGAACCATGGAGACGAGGCTTTCTGGGACTCACTGTGGTCACCACCAGGCAGTTTGATGTTTTATCTGGCAATCCAGGACTCGACAATAGGTAAGCGGAAACGGACGCTGGTAAGTGTCCGTTCAATCTCCCTAAATTTTGCTTTGGTCTGCAACTGGACACGCTATTCACGTTGACGTTCATTGAAGAATCCGATCGACTGGGGCATGTTGTTGGAATGTTCATGACGGATAGTTTAGCCGCTCCGTTCTCCCTCGAACCTGGAACAGTTTCGTACATTTGATGGTAATCAGAAAGGAATCGATCACATAGGGGTGGTGTGTCTCGGTTAGAGCCAGTCGAATGCCAAACAAGATGAAGCGCGTTTCCTTCAACTGCACAGTGAGGAACTGAAAACATCGGGGCCTTCGGAGCTGTAAGGTGATAAGCGAAGACTTATTCGTTGACAAATTTATAAACGGGAAGCAAGTTGCAATCCCCAAAGCAGTTGTAACTTACTGTGGTGGGTTTCCAGGCGGAGTGAGTCAATCTCGGTAGTGAGGTTTGCTTTGGATACCCTTAACTCCATTTGACCGCAGGATTTGACATGGTTGGCCAGTTCGAGTTCTTGCGTAAACTGAGCTTCAGTCGAACCAAGTCGCATGTGGATGACAGGGGTAATCTAGGTGGGGAAGGTAGGTCAATAACTAGGAGACGATCGAATGTGAATTTAAGAGAGAAGATTTCCCGCATATGTCATCATGGACTTGAGCTTAACGGTGCTTGCGGGATAAGTGCGAGACATTTTAGCTGTTAGGCCAATGCTCCGTACTGGGCAGCACGAGATAAAGCATTGGAGCAATGGTTCACTACGCGCAAAAAGGCTGATAATTGACAAGTCCTTGTTAGGTTTAGAGCCAAATAACCCGCGTAACATTTAGGGTTTGGAGAACTGAAGCCAGATGGCGCCAGGAAACTGTGTTCGAACTAGTTACTATGCAAAAAATGCGAACCAACATCATGTTCCGAGTCAAGTGTTCAACGGACTGTGAGTGGGTGTGTACAGAGTCGGCATGTTTTCATAAAACCCAAGACTCTTGTGTTTGTGTGATGTCGTGTAATGTCTTTGTCGCCTGGCTCACATAACATGCAACACTTGTGAAAAACCCGTCTCCTATAAAATCGAAACGTGTTTCGACCATCACATGTAGTAGTTGAGTGCTATCGGCAGTTACTTAGTCCGATTTCGTGTTCACTTCGCCGATACACACTACTTAACCAGTATGGTGTGTTCTGACAATACAACGACACCCCAGTCAGGAACCCATCATACTTGGTCCAACTACCGCCATAACATTGAAAATTAATAGATGTAGATAACCATTAATATAAGTCGGGTTTGGCTGAACTCACTAAGGGGTTTACGATTGCAACGACTTAAACATTCCTGTCGGGAGTCGATAGGGAATACGATATAGTTCACTGTTTTTCCGTGTTAATGCCGTTTTTCGATAGACACACGATATATAGTATAATGTAAATGTGCCAGTGTGTCGTCAAGTCGTTATTTGAGTAGTGGTGAGGAAACCAAATACATGCCTAAGTAGGGATTTCAGGACCGTCAGATTTGCAAGGAAGAAGGATTTCTTCGCAGTCCAACCGGCTTAGGTTGATGCCTTCTTAAAGGCGTGTTTTAGCTGAGTTTCCGAAATTGTTCGCAAGAGTGACTGGAGTTCATTACGATCTGATACACCATTATGAGATCACTCCGTAGACGCGCATGACGTCCGCCACACATTGGTAGAGATTTTAACCTAAGTTAACAATGAAACTGGGATAAGCACTTAACATTTTTGTCGCCCTACGTTGTACCATCTCGAGCGCGACGAGATGGTGTTTTTACCGGGACTTCGATGTTTGTATAACGGATTCCATGTGCAGTCTCATGCGCACACCAAACATTTGCGCAAAAGTTGAAGCGTCAAACATTCCGAACGTCATTCGTTCGATCGATTACGATATTTTCTATCGCCCATCTTAAGCGTGGGGTAACAGAATAACATGTGAAACGTCTCTCTCAATTAGATCTTTCCACTGCTTCAACCCGTCATCATAAAACAGATCAGGTGTCTAGGGTGTTTTAAGAGGGAATTGAGCATGACCGTTACACTTGTCACCGATGCCGCTATACTTCAAGATGTATTCAACCCCACTGATGGACTTAGTGCTTCATTGTGGGTATACCCGTATGCTTGCAGTCAATTCAATGGAAACTAGCCGGTGCAACCATAAAGGTACCCACATCATATGACGTGTATTTTGGAACCCACCGTAGTCTTCGGCAATATTTGGTCCTATTGAGAGAAAAAAATGCACCACAGGGGAGAAGAAGCTGCTATCCTGATTGCTCATCACATTGCATCACCTCGGAATGCACCAACGTATTTGTGTAAAGCTTAAACAAAGCTGGTCATTTGTTTAATAATGTAGCGGGGGTAAGGAGTGTGTGAAGTTCTCTACTGCGCTTATGCCAAACATCAGACACTCTAGTTTCACCGATACATTGGAGAAAAATTCCGACCGACCACCGGGATGTGAGGCCAAGCGTACTGTTTCCACACCGTACTTTACTAGTGATAATGTCGTCGTACACTTCTAATACACAGAGATACACCACATGTTTTTAGGCTCATGTTAGGAAGGAATACACGAGTCGAACAAGCCAGGACCCCATCGCCTCGGCCGGCTATCCAAACTCACCCGCCGTGATTGGGGCGAACAGTGAGCCAACCAGGAGAAGCGGCCAATAAACCCTAGGCTGAAGTTCCTTTATTGGCTGTAAGTTAACCTTTCCAGAGCTTTCCACGGTCGCTTTAAATATACTATTCACGAACTTTCCATTTTACCTTTATAATGAACGGTGTGATTTGCTAATTCATTCCTGTTGCTTTGCTCGGCCGATTCGTCTTCTCTCTGTCCTGTGGGGGGCCAGCGACTTCGGGTTTGATTGGCAATCAAGCGTCCATTCAGGCGAGGGACGAACACTTCAGCCCACATAAAAAATTTGCTTCACCTTGTATTCAGTATTTCAGAGGAGAAAATACAATTACCCGCACAGTCCCCTGCTCAATTCCGTGCTAGGAGAATAATATATAAAATACAGGTTAAAAGCGAGAAGTAGACGGAATTTACTTAAGAACGCTGAATGCAATCAAAACCACTCGCTTCCATACGTATAGACCTGAGCAGCAAATGCAAGCTGAATGGGAACATATCAGAAATTTCCACCGTGTTTCGTTTATTCGATCTTGCCCTTCTGTGCGGCTCTGTAGGCACTGAGCCCAGTTCCTCTTCGACGTTAGACCACATGAATGTGAACGTGTGCTGCCTCTAAGTAGATAGGGCGATTGTGTACCCAACAATCAATAGTGTCAAATTATTTTAACGGCTTGACATTCACTGTGAACGGAATCGTATTTCGTACCAAAGCACTCGGTGGACTTAACACTCCAACAGTCAGTTTAAACAACCCAATGTACAGGAATGACGTTCTGGCTGTTTATGTTTTAGTTTATCAACAGTTTGTTCCCAGCCCATCACACCTGTTAGTGTTTGTTTAGTCTGGCATGACTGGTCCCTACCATCTGGTCAGACATTTCATGCGATTAAAGTCATCAGGCTACGGGAATCACATACAAATAAGCTACGCGGAAAGCGCTCAACTATATATGGTCTTGTTCTCTGGTATCATTGTAGACAGCAATTTAAAACCTTCTAGCCCAAATTTTTGCTTTCGCCGTAAGCACATATACTCCCACATGACTTGTGAAAGGTTTGGGAGTGCTTTGCTATGTTCCACGCCGCATGACCGATTCTCGGTTCAGCTTTGATCTTTCCGGCTCGTCTGGGTGGAAGCTACCACTACCTGAGCTACCGAATAATGTACACTACAATGTGCCCACGTTATCCAAGTCGGTCTAAGTGCAACCTGAACTATGAATGCATTGTAAGTCACTATTTACCGGTCCGACTTTTCACGTCAGTGGACCCAGTGTTGACTATAGTCACTGCTGCCAACTCGAGTCTTTTTGTCTCATGTAATCGCGACAGGTCGTCGCATTTTGGGCCGTTATCTATGTTGAAATAAGCCTCGTTCATGCCGGTCCCACAGACGGTGTGCCACATTGTATGCTGCGGTGTTGGGAACGAGCAGAACCGGTAATTTATGCACCGGGTGACCAGCATATGCAAACGCAACGCTGCATTTGTGGTTGTTCCGATATCCGGTTGCCGTAGTAACGAATCGGGTAAGGGGTCAATGCATTAGTGGGGTCAACAGAAAGGTGATGAGAGTGTGCTTAAGCTAATTATTCTATGGTTCTATTGGCTGGACCAAATGCCGACGAACTGGTGGGGTTGACTCACAACTAGGGCGCTGAATTACAATGGGAAACAAATTTCGTCAGAGCAGTTGCGATATGTCAACATTTTTGATTGTTCTCAGTCGCAAATACAATACAAGCGGGATTCACAGACAGTGGTATACAGGAAAAAATTGGTACACCAATCAAAATGTCAAAATCAAGACCACGGTATCCTAATGGATTGTCTCAATAGTTTCTGTGCACACAACATAGGTTGATAAGCCCTAATTAGCAAAGCCTGACTAATTTCCAAAATTAGCAGATTGTTGTTGCTTAATAACACCTTGAACGCAGTCTCCGGGTTCACCTGATGTCCAGTTGCCAAGAGATGTTTGGTGCTTGATGATGCTGGACTCCGGTTAATCCTCGGATCCACCGTTTTGTTGCATCATTAGTTGTTCCAACCACCTCGGCACACGTTCAGCTACCAATTGTGATAATCAATTAGGTTACCGTGGTCTTGATTTTGACATTTTGATTGGTGTACCAATTTTCCCCCTGTATATAACAGTCTATGAATCCTGCTTGTATTGTGTTTGCGACTGAGGAGAACAATCGAAATGTTGACATGTCGCAACTTATATCTTCTCACTGTTCTGACGAAATGGCTGAAGGGTGTCAAGTGGCCCTACGTGCATCAAAAAGTCAAAGTCTGGGCCTCGATCAGAAATTCATTATTCATAGAACGCAAACTCGCTTTAGACCTCAAGTCAGTTAGAATCAATCAGATATGCAGAACCAGTCTCATTCTTATTACATTCTTACCCATGGTTGGAGCTTCGTTTAATGTTGATCTAAATTATTTGCATGCTATCCTTCAGTTCGCCGCTGCAGCGATCGACCCGCTTCCAGACTGTTGGCCCAAAATCGTTAAGCTCGACCGATCGCTATGCAACGGGCATCTAAATGTAGTGTCTTACCATCACATCCTTCCTTTTTTCTTTTTTTCTTAGTCCTCGTGTTGCAGCTTCCGTATTGTCTTCCACTGCGGGAGAACTTTCGAACTTGGGCTGCGACCTTAGTTGACATGTTCTGGAGAGCCGGGTTCTGTTCAGATTGAAGAGACTGTCCACCGCATCGCCTTTTTAGCCGCAATCGATGGCTTCCATTTCTTTCCCGACTGTCAGCTGCTCTTCTCTTCTGATGCCCTTCAGCTCTATGCATTGGTTTTAAATATACTTCCTCTCCAGCTTCTAGAGATTGAGTATGTCTTGGTCTGTGTTTGCGTTGCGTCGCTGTCCGATGTAATGGCTTTCGAAG